AAAACACAAAAACTCACCTTGGTCATGTTACCTGTAGATTTCTAAGCTTCAAATGCCTGTTTGTTTTGTGTTTCATTTCATAATGGCTACTCTCCCCAAACTCTTGTTTGTATGCCGTCAGAATACAAAATTTGGGAAGGAAGAAGGCAAAACCAACTCAGACCCAGAAAACATTTAGGAAATTGCCGCACAGAATCCACAAATCGGCTGAGGTACTCAAAACAATGACAGGAAGCCAGAATTGGAGCAGGCCAACAGCTGTGCCCTGTTTGAAAAAGACCATTCCTCTGGTGCCCTGAACTCCATATTCAGCCACAAACCAAAGCTCACATCAGAAAATTCATTACAAACCATGATAAATAAGAAAACAGAGAAAAAAGCCAAAGAAATGCAAGAATCCATAGTGACATTTGGCCTTATTAGTCACAAGGAAACCGGCTGTTCCCGGATTCATCCTCTGCTCCAGCTCACTGCCTGTGGAATTCTGACTGAATTCACCTGAAAATCCCAGTGAAACTCAGTTTGGAGGCAATTACTATCTGTCACCTCAGCCAAAGTGTTCCATTTGTTTTTCCAAAACACAAAAACTCACTTTGGTCAAGTTACCAGTAGATTTTGTAGGTTTAAACGCCTATTTCTTGTGTTTTTTATTTCATAATGGCTAATCTGCCCAAACTCTTGTTTGTGTGCCATCAGAATACATAATTTGGGAAGGAAGAAGGCAAAACCAACTCAGACCCCGAAAACATTTAGGAAATTGCCGCTCAAGAAACCAAAAATCAGCTGAGGCACCCAAAACAATGACAGCAAGCCAGAATTGAAGCAGGCCAACAGCTGTGCCCTGTTTGAAAAAGACCATTCCTCTGGTGCCCTGAACTCCATATTGCAGCCTCAAAACCAAAGCTCACATCAGAAAATTCATTACAATCCATGATAAATAAGAAAACATAGAAAAAATCCAAAGAAATGCAAGAATCCATAATGACATTTGGCCTGAATAGTCACAAGGAAACCGGCTGTTCCCGGAGTCATCCACACCTCCAGCTGACAGCCTGTGGAATTCTGACTGAATTAACCTGAATATCGCAGTGAAACTCAGTTTGGAGGCAATTACTATCTGTCACCTCAGCCAAAGTGTTCCATTTGATTTTCCAAAACACATAAACTAACTTTGGTCATGTTACTGGTAGATTTTGAAGGTTTAAACGCCTATTTGTTGTGTTTTTTATTTCATAGTGGCTACTCTGCTGAAACTCTTGTTTCTATGGCATCAGAATACATAATTTGGGAAGGAAGAAGGCAAAACCAACTCAGACTCAGAAAACATTTAGGAAATTGCCACTCAAGAAACCAAAAGTCAGCTGAGGCACCCAAAACAATGATAGCAAGCCAGAATTGGAGCAAGCCAACAGCTGTACCCTGATTGAAAAAGAAACTACCTCTTCTGCCCTGAACTCCATATTGCAGCCTCAAAACCAAAGCTCACATCAGAAAATTCATTACAAACCATAAAAAATAAGAAAAATGAGAAAAAAGACAAGGAATGCAAGAATCCATAATATTGGGCTTGATTCAGTCGCAAGGAAACCGGCTGTTCCCGGATTCATCCAGCCCTCCAGCTGACTGCCTGTGGAATTCTGACTGAATTAACTTGAAAATCGCAGTGAAACTCAGTTTGGAGGCCATTAATATCTGTCACCTCAGCCAAAGTGTTTCATTTTATATTTCCAAAACACAAAAACTCACCTTGGTCATCTTACCTGTAGATTTCTAAGCTTCAAACGCCTATTTGTTGTGTTTTTTATTTCATAATGGCTATTCTGCCCAAACTCTTGTTTGTATGGCAGCAGAAAAGAAAATTTGGATACGAAGACGGTAAAACCAACTCAGACCCAGAAAACATTTAAAAAATTGCCGCTCAAGAAACCAAAATCAACTGAGGCAGCCAAAACAATGAAGGCAAGCCAGAATTGGAGCAAGCCACAGCTGTACCCTGTTTAAAATGACCATACTTCCAGTGCCGTGAACTCCATACTGCAGCCTCAAAACCAAAGCTCACATCAGAAAATTCATTAAAAACCATGATAAATAAGAAAACATAGAAAAAAGCCAAAGAAATGCAAGAATTCATAATGATATTGGGCTTGATTCAGTCGCAAGGAAACCGGCTGTTCCCGGATTCATCCACCCCTCCAGCTGACTGCCTGTGCAATTCTGACTGAATTAACCTGAAAATCGCAGTGAAACTCAGTTTGGAGGCAATTAATATCTGTCACCTCAGCCAAAGTGTTCCATTTGATTTTCCAAAACACAAAAACTCCCCTTGGTCATGTTACCTGTAGATTTATAAGCTTCAAAATCCTATTTGCTGTGTTTTTTATGTCATAATGGCTACTCTCCCCAAACTCTTGTTTGTAGAAATCAGAATACAAAATTTGGGAAGGTAGAAGGCAAAACCAACTCAGACGCAGAAAACATGTAGGAAATTGCAGCTCAGGAAACCACAAATCGGCTGAGGCTCAAAAAAATGACAGCAAGCCAGAATTGGAGCAGGCCAACAGCTTTGCCCTGTTTAAAAGGTCCATTCCCCCGGTGCCCTGAACTCCATATTTCAGCCTCAAAACCAAAGCTGACATCAGAAAATTCATTACAACCCATGATAAATAAGAAAAAGGAGAAAAAAGCCAAAGAAATGCAAGAATCAATAATGATATTGGGCTTGATTTAGTTGCAAGGAAACTGGCTGTTCCCGGATTCATCCACCCCTCCAGCTGACTGCCGGTGGAATTCTGACTGAATTCACCTGAATATCGCAGTGAAACTCAGTTTGGAGGCAATTAATATCTGTCACCTCAGCCAAAGTGTTCCATTTTTTTTTTCCAAAACACAAAAACTCACCTTGGTAATGTTACCTGTAGATTTCTAAGCTTCAAATGCCTATTTGTTGTGGTTTTTATTTCATAATTGCTACTCTGTCCAAACTCTTGTTTGTGTTGCCTCAGAATACAAAATTAGGGAAGGAAGAAGGAAAAACCAACTCAGATGCACAAAACATTTAGGAAATTGCCGCTCAAGAAACCACAAATTAGCTGAGGTATCGAAAACAATGACAGCAAGCCAGAATTGGAGCAAGACAACAGCTGTGCCCTGATTGAAATAGAACCTTCCTCTTGTGCCATGAACTCCATATTGCAGCCTCAAACCAAAGCTCACATCAGAAAATTCATTACAAACCATAAAAAATGAGAAAAATGATAAAAAAGCCAAAGAAATGGAAGAATCCATAATGATATTGGGCTTGATTTAGTCGCAAGGAAACTGGCTGTTCCCAGATACATCCACCCCTCCAGCTGACAGCCTGTGGAATTCTGACTGAATTAACCTGAGAAATCACAGTGAAACTCAGTTTGGAGGCAATTAATATCTGTCACCTCAGCCAAAGTGTTCCATTTGATTTTCCAAAACACAAAACCTCACCTTGGTCGTGTTACCTGTAGATTTCAAGCTTCTATGCCTATTTGTTGTGTTTTTATTTCATAATGGCTACTCTGCCCCAAACTCTTGTTTGTATGGCATCAGAATACAACATTTGGGAAGGAAGAAGGCAAACCCAATTCAGACCCAGAAAACATTTAGGACATTGCCGCTCAAAGAACCAATAATCGGCTGAGGCACCCAAAACAATGAAAGCAAGCAGAATAGGAGCAAGTCAACAGCTGTGCACTGTTTGAAAAATAACCTTCCTCCGGTGCCCTGAACTCCATATTGCAGCCTCAAAACCAAAGCTCACATCAGAAAATTCATTACAAACCATGATAAATAAGAAAATGAGACAAAAGCCAAAGAAATGCAAGAATCCATAATGATATTGGGCTTGATTGAGTCGCAAGGAAATTGGCTGTTCCCAGATTCATCCACCCCTCCAGCTGATGCCTGTGGAATTATGACTGAATTAACCGGAAAATCGCAGTGAACCTCAGTTTGGAGGCAATTAATATCTGTCACCTCAGCCAAAGTGTTCCATTTGATTTTTCAAAACACAAAAACTCACCTTGGTCGTGAACCTGTAGATTTCTAAGCTTCAAACGCCTATTTGTTGTGTTTTTTATTTCATAATCGCTACTCTGTCTGAACTCATGTTTGTATTGCGTCACAATACAAAATTTGGGAAGGAAGAAGGTAAAAACCTCTCAGACCCAGAAAACATTTAGGAAATTGCCGCTCAGGAAACCAAAAGTCAGCTGAGGCACCCAAAACAATGACAGCAAGGCAGACTTGGAGCAAGTCAACAGCTGTGCCCTTTTTGAAAAATAACCTTCCTCTTGTGCCCTGAACTCCATATTGCAGCTTCAAAACCAAAGCTCACATCAGAAAATTCATTACAAACCATGATAAATAAGAAAAATGAGACAAAAGCCAAAGAAATGCTAGAATCCATAATGATATTGGGCTTGAATTAGTCGCAAGGAAATTGGCTGTTCCCAGATTCATCCACCCCTCCAGCTGACTGCCTGTGGAATTATGACTGAATTAACCTGAAAATCGCAGTGAACCTCAGTTTGGAGGCAATTAATATCTGTCACCTCAGCCAAAGTGTTCCATTTTATTTTCCAAAATCAAAAACTCACCTTGGTCTCGTTACGAGTAGACTTATAAACTTCAAACACCTATTTGTTGTGTTTTTTATTTCATAATGACTACTCTGTCCAAACTCTTGTTTGTATTCCATCAGAATACAATATTTGGGAAGGAAGAAGGCAAAACCAACTCAGACCCAGAAAACATTTAGGACATTGCCACTCAAGATACCAAAAGTCAGCTGAGGCTCCCAAAACAATGACAGAAAGCCAGAATTGGAGCAAGCCAACATCTGTACCCTGTTTGAAAAAGACCATTCCTCAGGTGCCCTGAACTCAATATTGCAACCTCAAAACCAAAGCTCACATCAGAAAATTCATTAGAACCATGATAAATAAGAAAAAGGAGAAAAAAGCCAAAGAAATGCAAGAATCAAGAATGATATTGGGCTTGATTTAGTCGCAAGGAAACCGGCTGTTCCCGGATTCATCCACACCTCCAGCTGACTGCCTGTGGACTTCTGACTGAATTCACCTGAAAATCGCAGTGAAACTCAGTTTGGAGGCTATTAATATCTGTGACCTCAACAAAGTGTTCCATTTTATTTTCCAAAACACAAAAACTCACCTTGGTCGTGTTACCTGTATTTTTCTAAGCTTCAAACGCCTTTTTGTTGTGTTTTTTATTTCATAATGGCTACTCCGCCCAAACTCTTGTTTGTATTGCGTCAGAATACAAATTTGGGAAGGAAGAAGGCAAAACCAACTCAGACCCAGAAAACCTTTAGGAAATTGCCGCTCAAGAAACCACAAATCGGCTGAGGCACTCAAAACAATGACAGCAAGCCAGAATTGGAGCAGCACAACAGCTGTGCCCTGTTTGAAAAAGACCATACCTCTGGTGCCCTGAACGCCATATTACAGCCTCAAAACCAAAGCTGACATCAGAAAATTCATTACAAACCATGATAAATAAGAAAAATGAGAAAAAAGCCAAAGAAACGCAAGAATCCATAATGACATTGGGCTTGATTCAGTCGCAAGGAAATGGGCTGTTCCCGGATTCATCCACCCCTCCAGCTGACTGCCTGTGGAATTCTGACTGAATTAACCTGAAAATCGCAGTGAAACTCAGTTTGGAGGCAATTAATATCTGTCACCTCAGCCAAAGTGTTCCATTTCATTTTCCAAAACACAAAAACTCACCTTGGTCGTGTTACCTGTAGATTTCTAAGCTTCTAACACCTATTTGTTGTATTTTTTATTTCATAATGGCTGCTCTGTCCAAACTCTTGTTTGTAATGTGACAGAATACAAAATTTGGGAAGGAAGAAGGCAAAACCAACTCAGACCCAGAAAACATTTAGGAAATTGCCACTCAACAAACCAAAATTGAGCTGAGGCATGCAAAACAATGACAGCAAGCCAGAATTGGAGCAAGCCAAGAGCTGTGCCCTGTTTAAAAAAAAAAAACCTTCCTCTTGTGCCCTAAACTCCATATTGCAGCCTCAAAACCAAATCTCACATCAGAAAATTCATTACAAAGCAGGATAAATCAAAAAATGAGAAAAATGCCAAAGAAATACAGGAGACCTTTCTGATATTGGGCTGGATTTAGTCGCAAGGAAACCGGCTGCTCCCAGATTCATCCACCCCTCCTGCTGACTGCCTGTGGAATTCTCACTGAATTAACCTGAAAATCGCAGTCAAACTCAGTTTGGAGGCCATTAATATCTGTGACCTCAACAAAGTGTTCCATTTTATTTTCCAAAACACAAATACTCACCTTGGTCGTGTTTCGAGTAGACTTATAAGCTTCAAACGCCTATTTGTTGTGTTTTTTATTTCATAATGACTGCTCTGTCCAAACTCTTGTTTGTATTCCATCAGAATACAAAATTTGGGAAGGAAGAAGGCAAAACCAACTCAGACCCTGAAAACATTTAGGACATTGTGGCTCAAGAAACCACAAATCGGCTGAGGCACCCAAAACAATGACAGCAAGCCAGAATTGGAGCAAGCCAACATCTGTACCCTGTTTGAAAAAGACCATTCCTCCGGTGCCCTGAACGCCATATTGCCGCCTCAAAACCAAAGCTCACATCAGAAAATTTATTACAAACCATGATAAATAAGAAAAAGGAGAAAAAAGCCAAAGAAATGCAAGAATCCATAATGATATTGGGCTTGATTTAGTCGCAAGGAAACCAGCTGTTCCCGGATTCATCCACACCTCCAGCTGACTGCCTGTGGAATTATGACTGAATTAACCTGAAAATCGCAGTGAAACTCAGTTTGGAGGCAATTACTATCTGTCACCTCAGCCAAAGTGTTCCATTTGATTTTCCAAAACACAAAACTTCACCTTGGTCGTGTTACCTGTAGATTTCTAAGCTTCGAACGCCTTTTTGTTGTGTTTTTTATTTCCTAATGGCTACTCTGCTGAAACTCTTGTTTGTATTGCGTCAGAATACAAATTTGTGAAGGAAGAAGGCAAAACCAACTCAGACCCAGAAAACCTTTAGGAAATTGCCGCTCAAGAAACCACAAATCGGCTGAGGCACTCAAAACAATGACAGCAAGCCAGAATTGGAGCAGCACAACAGCTGTGCCCTGTTTGAAAAAGACCATACCTCAGGTGCCCTGAACTCCATATTGCAGACTCAAAACCAAAGCTGACATCAGAAAATTCATTACAAACCATGATAAATAAGAAAAATGAGAAAAAAGCAAAGAAATGCAAGAATCCATAATGACATTGGGCTTGATTCAGTCGCAAGGCAACGGGCTGTTCCCGGATTCATCCACCCCTCCAGCTGACTGCCTGTGGAATTCTGACTGAATTAACCTGAAAATCCCAGTGAAACTCAGTTTGGAGGCAATTAATATCTGTCACCTCAGCCAAAGTCTTCCATTTCATTTTCCAAAACACAAAAACTCACCTTTGTTGTGTTACCTGTAGATTTCTAAGCTTCAAACGCCTATTTGTTGTGTTTTTTATTTCATAATGGCTACTCTGCCCAAACTTTTGTTTCTATTGCGTCAGATTACAAAATTTGGGAAGGAAGAAGGCAAAACCAACTCAGACCCAGAAAACATTTAGGAAATTGCCGCTCAAGGAACAAAGGGCCGCTGAGGAACCCAAAACTTTGAAAGCAAGACAGAATTGGAGCAAGCCAACAGCTGTGCCCTGATTGAAAAAGACCATTCCTCCGGTGTCCTGAACTCGATATTGCAACCTCAAAACCAAACCTCAGATCAGAAAATTCATTACAAATCATGATAAATAAGAAAAATCAAAAAATGCAAAGAAATGCAGGAGTTCTTAGTGATATTGGGCTTGATTTATTCCCTTGTTAATGGCTGTTTCCAGATTCTTCTATACCTCCCAACTGAGTGTCTGTGGTTTCTGCTGAATCAAAATGAAATTCGCTGTGAAACTCGGTTTGGAGGCAATTAATATCTGTCACCTCAGCAAAAGTGTTCCATGTCTTTTTCCAAAACACAAAATCTCACCTTGGTCGTGTTACCTGTAGCTTTCAAAAGCCTATTTGATGTGTTTTTTATTTCATAATGTGTATTCTGTCCAAACTCTTGTTTGTATTGCGTCACAATACAAAATTTGGGAAGTAAGAGGACAAAACCATCTGAGACTCAGAAAACGTTTAGGAAATTGCCACTCAAGAAACCTCAAATCGGCGGAGGCACCCAAAACAATGACAGCAAGCCAGAATTGGAAGAAGCCAGCAGCTGTGCCCTGATTGAAAAAGACCATTCCTCCGGTGCCCTGATCTCCATATTGCAGCCTCAAAACCAAAGCTCACATCAGAAAATTCATTACAAACCTTCATACATAAGAAAAATGAGAAAATACCCAAAAATGCAAGAATCCAGAATGATATTGGGCTGGATTTGTTCGCAAGGAAACCGGCTGTTCCCGGATTCATCCAACCCTGCAGCTGACTGCCTGTGGAATTCTGACTGAATTAACCTGAAAATCGCAGTGAAACTCAGTTTGGAAGCAATTAATAACTGTCACCTCAGCTAAAGTGTTCCACTTTATTTTCTAAAACACAAAAACTCACCTCGGTCGTGTTACCTGTAGATTTCTAAGCTTCAAACGCCTATTTGTTGTGTTTTTTGTTTCATAATGGCTACTCTGCCCAAACTCCTGTTTGTATTTGGGCAGAATACAAATATTGGGAAGGAAGAAAGCAAAACCAACTCAGACCCAGAAAACATTTAGGAAATTGCCGCTCAAGCAACAAAGGGCCGCTGAGGAACCCAAATCTTTGAAAGCAAGACAGAATTGGAGCAAGCCAACAGCTGTGCCCTGATTGAAAAAGACCATTCCTCCGGTGTCCTGAACTCGATATTGCAACCTCAAAACCAAACCTCAGATCAGAAAATTCATTACAAACCATGATAAAAAAGAAAAATCAGAAAAAATCCAAAGAAATGCAGGAGTTCTTAGTGATATTGGGCTTGATTTATTCCCTTGTTAATGGCTGTTTCCAGATTCTTCTACACCTCCCAGCTGAGTGTCTGTGGTTTCTGACTGAATTAAAATGAAATTCACTGTGAAACTCGGTTTGGAGGCAATTAATATCTGTCACCTCAGCAAAAGTGTTCCATGTCTTTTTACAAAACACAAAATCTCACCTTGGTCGTGTTACCTGTAGCTTTCAAAAGCCTATTTGATGTGTTTTTTATTTCATAATGTCTACTCTGTCCAAAGTCTTGTTTGTATGCCATCAGAAAAGAAAATTTGGGAAGGAAGACGGCAAAACCAACTCAGACCCAGAAAACATTTAGGAAATTGCCACTCAAGAAACCAAAAGTCAGCTGAGGCACCCAAATAAATGGCAGCAAGCCAGAATTGGAGCAGGCCAACAGCTGTGACCTGTTTGAAAAGACCATTCCTCCGGTGCCCTGAACTCCATATTGCAGCCTCAAAACCAAAGATCACATCAGAAAATTCATTACAAACCATGATAAATAAGAAAAATGAGAAAAAAGCCAAAGAAATGCAAGAATCCATAATGATATTGGGCTGGATTTAGTCGCAAGGAAACCGGCTGTTCCCGGATTCATCCACCCCTCCAGCTGACAGCTTGTGGAATTCTGACTGAATTAACCTGAAAATCACAGTGAAACTCAATTTGGAGGCAATTAATATCTGTCACCTCAGCCAAAGTGTTCCATTTGATTTTCCAAAACACAAAAACTCACCTTGGTTGTGTTACCTGTAGATTTCTAAGCTTCAAACGCCTATTTGTTGTGTTTTTTATTTCATAATGGCTACTCTGCCCAAACTTTTGTTTCTATTGCGTCAGATTACAAAATTTGGGAAGGAAGAAGGCAAAACCAACTCAGACCCAGAAAACATTTAGGAAATTGCCGCTCAAGAAACAAAGGGCCGCTGAGGAACCCAAAACCTTGAAAGCAAGACAGAATTGGAGCAAGCCAACAGCTGTGCCCTGATTGAAAAAGACCATTCCTCCGGTGTCCTGAACTCGATATTGCAGCCTCAAAACCAAAGCTCACATCAGAAAATTCATTACAAACCATGATAAATAAGAAAAATCAGAAAAAATCCAAAGAAATGCAGGAGTTCTTAGTGATATTGGGCTTGATCTATTCCCTTGTTAATGGCTGTTTCCAGATTCTTCTATACCTCCCAGCTGAGTGTCTGTGGTTTCTGACAGAATTAAAATGAAATTCGCTGTGAAACTCGGTTTGGAGGCAATTAATATCTGTCACCTCAGTAAAAGTGTTCCATATCTTTTTCCAAAACACAAAATCTCACCTTGGTCGTGTTACCTGTAGCTTTCAAAAGCCTATTTGATGTGTTTTTTATTTCATAATGTCTATTCTGTCCAAAATCTTGCTTGTATTACGTCAGAATACAAAATTTGGGAAGTAAGAGGACAAAAACAACTGAGACTCAGAAAACATTTAGGAAATTGCCACTCAAGAAACCTCAAATCGGCGGAGGCACCCAAAACAATGACAGCAAGCCAGAATTGGAGCAAGCCAGCAGCTGTGCCCTGATTGAAAAAGACCATTCCTCCGGTGCCCTGAACTCCATATTGCAGCCTCAAAACCAAAGCTCACATCAGAAAATTCATTACAAACCATGATAAATAAGAAATATCAGAATAAAGCCAAAGAAATGCAAGAATCCATAATGATATTGGGCTTCATTTAGTTGCAAGGAAACCGGCTATTCCCGGATTCATCCACCCCTCCAGCTGACTGCCTGTGGAATTCTGACTGAATTAACCTGAACGGAGGCAGTTAATATCTGTCACCACAGCCAACTTGTTCCATTTGATTTTCCAAAACACAAAATCTCACCTTGGTCGTGTTACCTGTAGCTTCAAAAGCCTATTTGTTGTGTTTTTTATTTCCTAATGGCTACTCTTTCCAAACTCTTGTTTGTATTGTGTCAGAATACAAAATTTGGGAAGGAAGAAGTAAAACCAACTCAGACCAAGAAAACATTTAGGATATTGATGCTCAAGAAACTTCAAATCGGCGGAGGCACCCAAAACAATGACAGCAAGCCAGAATTGGAGCAAGCCAACAGCTGTGACCTGATTGAATAAGAACCTTCCTCTTGTGCCCTGAACTCCATATGCCAGCCTCAAAACCAAAGCTCACATCAGAAAATTCATTACAAACCACTAAAATTAAGAAAAATGAGAAAATAGCCAAGGAAATGCAAGAATCCATAATGATATTGGGCTTGATTTAGTCGCAAGGAAATCGGCTGTTCCCAGATTCATCCACAGCTCCAGCTGACTGCCTGTGGAATTCCGACTGAATTTATCAGAAAATCGCAGTGAAACTCAGTTTGGAGGCAATTAATATCTGTCACCTCAGCCAAAGTGTTCCATTTTATTTTCCAAAACAAAAAAAAATCATATTGGCGTGTTACCAGCAGATTTATAATCTGTAAATGTCTATTTGTTGCATTGTGTCAGAATACAAAATTTGGGAAGGAATAAGGCAAAACTAACTCAGACCCAGAAAAAATTTAGAAAATTGCCGCTCAAAACCAATAGTCAGCTGAAACCCCAAAACCAATGACAGCAACCCAGAATTGGAGCAAGCTAACAGCTGTGCCCTGTTTTAAAAAGACCATTCTTCCGGTGCCCTGAACTCCATATTGCCGTCTCAAAACCAAAGCTCACATCAGAATATTCATTACAAACCTTGATAATAAGGGAAATGTGAAAAAGTCAAATAAATGCAAGAGTCCTTTGTGATATTTGGCTGGATTTAGACACAAGGAAACTGGCTGTTTCCAGATTCATCAACCCCTTCCACAGACTGACTTTGGAATTCTGATGGAATTCACCTCAAAATCGCACTCACACTCAATTGGAAGGTAATTAGAATCTGTCCCCTCAGCAGAAGTGTTCCAAGTCATTATCCAAAACACAGAAACTCATCTTGGTCTTGTTCCCTGTAGCTTTTGAATCCTGAAAGGGCAATTTGCCGTATTTTCTTTTTTTTCATAATGGCTACTCTGTCCAAAATCTTGCTTGTATTGCATCAGAATACAAAATTTGGGAATAACAAGGCAAAATCAACTCAGACCCAGAAAGCATTTAGTAAATTACCACTCAAGTACCCACAAATCGGCTGAAGCACCCAAAACAATGACAGCAAGCCAGAATTGGAGCAAGCCAACAGCTGTGCCCTGATTGAAAAAGAACCATCCTCTTGTGCCCTGAACTCAATTGCCAACCTCAAAAACAAAGCGCACATCAGAAAATTCATTACAAACCATCATACATAACAAAAATGAGAAAAAAGCCAAAGAAATGCAAGAATCCATAATGATATTGGGGTTGATTTAGTTGTAAGGAATCCGGCTATTCCTGGATTCGTCCACCCCTCGAGGTGACTGCCTGTGCAATTCTCACTGAATTAACCTGAAAATCACAGGGAAACTCAGTTTGGAGGCAATTAATATATGTCACCTGAGCCAAAGTGTTCCATTTTATTTTCCAAAACACAAAAACTCACCTTGGTCGTGTTACCTGTAGATTTCTAAGCTTCAAACGCCTATTTGTTGTGTTTTTTATTTCATAATGGCTACTCTGTCCAAACTCTTGTTTGTATTGAGTCAGAATAAAAAATTTGGGAATAAGAAGAAAAAACCGTGTCAGACCCAGAAAACATTTAGGAAATTGCCACTCAAGAAACCTCAAATTTGCTGAGGCACCCAAAACAATGACAGCAAGCCACAATTAGAGCAAGCCAACAGCTGTGCCCTGATTGAAAAAGAACATTTCTCTTGTGCCCGGAAGTTCTTATTGCAGCCTCAAATCCAAAGCTCACATCAAAAATTCATTACCAACCATGATAAATAAGAAAAAAGAGAAAAAATCCAAAGAAATGCAAGAATCCACAATGATATTGGGCTTGATTTAGTCGTAAGAAATCCGGCTAGTCCTGGATTCATCCACCCCTCCAGGTGACTGCCTGTGCAATTCTCACTGAATTAACCTGAAAATCACAGTGAAACTCAGTTTGGAGGCAATTAATATCTGTCACCTCAGCCAAAGTGTTCCATTTTATTTTCCAAAACACAAAAACTCACCTTGGTCGTGTTACCTGTAGATTTCTAAGCTTCAAACGCCTATGTGTTGTGTTTTTTATTTCATAATGGCTACTCTGTCCAAACTCTAGTTTATATTGCGTCAGAATACAAAATTTGGGAAGGAAGAAGGCAAAACCAACTCCGACCAAGAAAACATTTAGGAAATTGCTGCTCAAGAAACCAAATGTCAGCTGAGGCACCCAAAACAAGGACAGCAAGCCAGAATTGGAGCAAGCCAACAGCTGTGCCCTGATTGAAAAAGAACCTTCCTCTTGTGCCCTGAACTCAATATGCCAGCCTCAAAACCAAAGCTCACATCAGAAAATTCATTACAAACCATGATAAATAAGAAAAATGAGAAAAAAGCCAAAGAAATGCAGGAGTTCTTAGTGATATTGGGCTTCATTTATTCCCATGTAAACTGCTGTTTCCAGATTCTTCCACACCTCCCAGCTGAGTGAATGTGTATTCTGACTGAATTAACCTGGAAATCGCAGTGAAACTCACTTTGGAGGGAATTAGAAATTGTCCCCTCAGCAGAAGTGTTCCATGACACTTTCTAAAACACAAAAACTCACCTTGGTCGTGTTACCTATCGATTTCTAAGCTTCAAATGCGTAATGTTGTGTTGTTTATTTCATAATGGCTACTCTGTCCAAACTCTTGTTTGTATTGCGTCAGAAAATTTGGGAAGGAAGAAGGCAAAACCAACTCAGACCCAGAAAACATTCAGAAAATGTGGATCAAAAAACAACAACGCTGAGGCACCCAAAACCTTTAAAGCAAGACAGAATTGTAGCAAACCAATAGCTGTGCCCTGATTGAAAAAGAACCTTCCTCTTGTGCCCTGAACCCAATATGCCAGCATCAAAACCAAAGCTCACATCAGAAAATTCATTACAAACCATGATAAAAAGAAAAATGAGAAAATAGCCAAGGAAATGCAAGAATCCATAATGATATTGGGCTTGATTCAGTCACAACGAAACCGGCTGTTCCCAGATCCATCCACCCTTCCAGCTGACTGCCTGTGGACTTCTGAATGAATTAACCTGAAAATCGCAGTGAAACTCAGTTTGGAGACTATTAATATCTGTCACCTCAGCCAAAGTGTTCCATTTTATTTTCCAAAACACAAAAACTCACCTTAGTCGTGTTACCTGTAGATTTCTAAGCTTCCAACGCCTATTTGTTGTGCTTTTAATTTCATAATGGCTACTCTGTCTAAACTCTTGTTTATATTTCTTCAGAATACAAAATTTGGGAAGGAAGAAGGCAAAACCAACTCAGAACCAGTAAACATTTAGGAAATTGCCACTGAGGAAACGACAAATTGGCTGAGGCACCCAAACCAATGACAGCAAGCCGGAATTGGAGCAAGGCAACAGCTGTGCCCTGATTAAAAAAGACCATTCCTCAGGTTCCCTGAACTCCATATTGCAGCCTCAAAACCAAAGAACACATCAGCAAATTCATTACAAACCATGATAAATAAGAAAAATGAGAAAATAGACAAAGACATGCAAGAATCCATAATGATATTGGGCTAGATTTAGTCGCAAGGAAACCGGCTGTTCCCGGATTCATCCACCCCTCCAGCTGACTGCCTGTGGAATTATGACTGAATTAACCTGAAAATCACAGTGAAACTCAGTTTGGAGGCAATTAATATCTGTCACCTCAGCCAAAGTCTTCCATTTCATTTTCCAAAACACAAAACCTCATCTTGATTGAGTTACCTGTAGATTTCTAAGCTTCCAACGCCTATTTGTTGTGTTTTTTATTTCATAATGGCTACTCTGCCCAAACTCTTGTTTGTATGGCGTCAGAATACAAAATTTGGGAAGGAAGAAGGCAAAGCCAACTCAGACCCAGAAAACATTTAGGAAATTGCCGCTCAAGTAACCAAAAGTCAGCTGAGGCACCCAAAACAAGGACAGCAAGCCAGAATTGGAGCAAGCCAACAGCTGTGCCCTGATTGAAAAAGAACCTTCCTCTTGTGCCCTGAACTCAATATGCCTGCCTCAAAACCAAAGCTCACATCAGAAAATTCATTACAAACCATGATAAATCAGAAGAATGAGAAAAAAGCCAAAGAAATGCAGGAGTTCTTAGTAATATTGGGCTTGATTTATTGCCATGTAAACGGCTGTTTCCAGATTCATCCACACCTCCCAGCTGAGTGTCTGTGGTTTCTGACTGAATTAACCTGAAAATCGCAGTGAAACTCGGTTTGGAGGCAATTAATATCTGTCACCTCAGCCAAAGTGTTCCATTTTATTTTCCAAAACTCAAAAACTCACCTTAGTATTCTTACCTGTAGATTTCTAAGCTTCAAATGCCTATTTGTTGTGTTTTTTATTTCATCATTGCTAGTCTGTCCAAACTCTTGTTTGTATTGCGTCAGAATACAAAATTTGGGAATAAGAAGGAAAAACCGTGTCAGACCCAGAAAACATTTAGGAAATTGCCACTCAAGAAACCAAAAGTCAGCTGAGGAACCCACAACAATGACAGCAAGCCAGAATTGGAGAAAGACAACAGCTGTGCCCTGATTGAAAGAGAACCTTCCTCTTGTGCCCTGAGCTCAATATAGCAGATTCAAAACCAAAGCTCACATCAGAAAATTCATTACAAACCATGATAAATAAGAAAAATGAGAAAAAAGCCAAAGAAATGCAGGAGTTCTTAGTAATATTGGGCTTGATTTATTGCCATGTAAACGGCTGTTTCCAGATTCATCCACACCTCCCAGCTGAGTATCTGTGGTTTCTGACTGAATTAACCTGAATATCGCAGTGAAACTCGGTTTGGAGGCAATTAATATCTGTCACCTCAGCCAAAGTGTTCCATTTTATCTTCCAAAACTCAAAAACTCACCTTAGTCTTCTTACCTGTAGATTTCAAAACTTCAAATGCCTATTTGCTTTGTTTTTTATTTCATAATGGCTACTCTGCCCAAGCTCTTGTTTGTATTGCGTCAGAATACAAAATTTGGCAAGGAAGAAGGCAAAACCGACTCAGACCCAGAAAACATTTAGGAAATTGCCACTCAAGAATCCAAAAGTCAGCTGAGGAACCTACAACAATGACAGCAAGCCAGAATTGGAGCAAGCCAACAGCTGTGCCCTGATTGAAAAAGAACCTTCCTCTTGTGCCCTGAGCTCAATATACCAGTCTCAAAACCAAAGCTCACATCAGAAAATTCATTACAAACCATGATAAATAAGAAAAATGAGAAAAAAGCCAAAGAAATGCAGGAGTTCTTAGGGATATTGCGCTTGAATTATGGCCATGTAAACGGCTGTTTCCAGATTCATCCACACCTCCCAACTGAGTGTCTTTGGTTTCTGAATGAATTAACAAAAAAATCGCAGTGAAACTCGGTTTTGGAGGCAATTAATATCTGTCACCTCAGCCAGAGTGTTCAATTTTATTTTCATAAACACAAAAACTTACCTTGCTCGTGTTACATGTACATATATAAGCTTCAAACGCATATTTGTTGTGTTTTTTATTTCATAATGGCTACTCTGTCCAAACTCTTGTTTGTATTACGTCAGAATACAAAATTTGGGAAGGAAGAAGGCAAAACCAACTCAGACCCAGAAAACATGTAGGAAATTGCCACTAAAGAAACCAAAAACAGCTGAGGCACGCAAAACAATGACAGCAAGCCAGAATTGCAACAAGCCAACAGCTGTGTCCTGTTTGAAAAAGACCATTGATCCGGTGCCCTGAACTCAATATGCCAGCCTCAAAACCAAAGCTCACATCAGAAAATTCATTACAAACCATGATAAATCAGAAAAATGAGACAAAAGCCAAAGAAATGCACGAGTTCTTAGTGATATTTGGCTGGATTTAGACACAAGGAAACTGGCTGTTTAAAGATTCATCCTCCCCTTCCACTGACTGAATTTGGAATTCTGATTGATTTCACCTCAAAATTGCACTCACACTCAATTTGGAGGGAATTAGAATCTGTCCCCTCAGCAGAAGGGTTCCATGTCATTTTCCAAAACACAGAAACTAATCTTGATCATGTTGCCAGCAGATTTCTAATCCTGAAAGGGCAATTTCTGTGTTTTTTTTTTCTTTCATAATGGCTACTCTGTCCAAATCTTGCTTGTATTGCATCAGAATACAAAATATGGGAATAAGAAGGCAAAACCGACTCAGACCCAGAAAACATTAAGGAAATTGCCGCTCAAGAAACCACAAATCGGCTGAGGCACCCAAAACAATGACAGCAAGCCAGAATTGGAGCAAGCCAACAGCTGTGCCCTGATTGAAAAAGAACCTCCCTCTTGTGCCCTGAACTCAATATTGCAGCCTCAAAACCAAAGCTCACATCAGAAAATTCATTACAAACCATGATAAATAAGAAAATGGAGAAAAAGCCAAAGAAATGCAAGAATCCATAATGATAGTGGGCTTGATTTAGTTGCAAGGAAACCGGCTGTTCCCAGATTCATCCACAGTTCCAGCTGACTGCCTGTGGAATTCCGACTGAATTAACCTGAAAATCGCAGTAAGACTCAGTTTGGAGGCAATAATATCAGTCACCTCAGCCAAAGTGTTCCATTTTATTTTCCAAATCACAAAAACTCACCTTGGTCATGTTACCCTTAGATTTATAAGCTTCAAACGCTAATTTGTTGTTGTTTTTTTTTTTTTATTTCATAATGGCTACTCTGTCAAAACTCTTGTTTGTATTGCGTCAGAATACAAAATGTGGGAAGGAAGAAGGGAAAACCAACTCAGACCCAGAAAACATTTAGGAAATTGCCGCTCAAGAAACCACAAATCGGCTGAGGCACCCAAAACCTTGAAAGCAAGACAGAATTGGAGCAAGCCAACAGCTGTGCCCTGATTGAACAAGACCATTAATCCAGTGCCCTGAACTCCATATTCCATCCTCAAAACCAAAGCTCACATCAGAAAATTCATTAGAAACCATGATAAATAAGGGAAATCTGAGAAAGCCAAAGAAATTCAAGAGTCCTTTGTGGTATTTGGCTGGATTTAGACAGAAGGAAACTGGCTGTTTCCGGATTCATCCCCCCCCTTCCACAGACAGACTTTGGAATTCTGATTGAATTCACCTCAAAATCGCACTCACACTCAATTTGGAGGGAATTAGAATCTGTCCCCTCAGCAGAACGGTGCCATGTCATTTTCCAAAACACAGAAACTCATCTTGGTCGTGTTGCCTATAGATTTCTAATCCTGAAAGGGCAATTTGCTGTGTTTTTTTTTCTTTCATAATGGCTACCCTGTCCAAAATATTGCTTATGTTGCATCAGAACACAAAATTTGGGAATAAGAAGGCAAATCCGACTCAGACCCAGAAAACATTTAGGAAACTGCAACACAAGAATCCACAAATCAGCTGAGGCACCCAAAACAATGACAGCAAGCAGAATTGCAGCAAGACAACAGCTGTGCCCTGATTGAAAAAGAACCTTCCTCTTGTGCCCTGAACTCAATATGCCAGCCTCAAAACCAAAGCTCACATCAGAAAATTCATTACAAACAATGATAAATAAGAAAAATCAGAAAAAAGCCAAAGAAATGCATGAATCCATAATGATATTGGGCTTGATTTAGTCGCAAGGAAGCCAGCAGTTCCCAGATTCATCCACGCCTAAAGCTGACTGCCTGTGGAATTCTCACAGAATGAACCCGAAAATCACAGTGAAACTCCGTTTGGTGGCAATTAATATCTGTCACCTCAGCCAAAGTTTTCCCTTTTATTTTCCAAAACAAAAAAACTCACTTTGGTCGTGTTACCTGCAGATTTAAAATCTTGAAACGCCTATTTGTTGTGTTGTTTATTTCATAATGGCTACTCTGTACAAACTCTTCTTTGCATTGCATCAGAATACTAAATTTGGGAAGGAAGAAGGGAAAACCAACTCAGACCCAGAAAACATTTAGGAAATTGCCGCTCAAGAAACCACAAATCAGCTGAGGCACCCAAAACCTTGAAAGCAAGACAGAATTGGAGCAAGCCAACAGCTGTGCCCTGATTGAACAAGACCATTAATCCAGTGCCCATAACTCCATATTGCAGCCTCAAAACCAAAGCTCCCATCAGAAAATTCATTACAAACCATGATAAATAAGGGAAATCTGAGAAAGCCAAAGAAATTCAAGAGTCCTTTGTGGTATTTGGCTGGATTTAGACACAAAGAAACTGGCTGTTTCCAGATTCATCCCCCCCTTCCACAGACAGACCTTGGAATTCTGATTGAATTCACCTCAAAATCGCACTCACACTCAATATGGAGGGAATTAGAATCTGTCCCCTCAGCAGAAGTGTTCCATGTCATTTTCCAAAACACAGAAACTCATCTTGGTCGCGTTGCCTGTAGATTTCTAATCCTGAAAGGGCAATTTGCTGTGTTTTTTTTTTTCTTTTATAATGGCTACTCTGCCAAAATCTTGCTTGTATTGCATCAGAATACAAAATTTGGGAATAAGAAGGCAAAACCGACTCAGACCCAGAAAACATTTAGGAAATTGCCGCTCAAGAAACCACAAATCGGCTGAGGCACCCAAAACAATGACAGCAAGCCAGAATTGGAGCAAGCCAACAGCTGTGCCCTGATTGAAAAAGAACCTTCCTCTTGTGCCCTGAACTCAATATACCAGCCTCAAAACCAAAGCTCACATCAGAAAATTCATTACAAACCAT